GGCAGTTACTCCAGAGTGCCTCCATCTCCTGTTGAGATGAAACCATTCAGTTATGTGGTAGGTTCAGATAGATGTAAAACGTGACAACAGATAATGTCCTGAGACCCTCAGAAAGAGTAACCTAACAGCAGTCAGGGTTCACAGCCCTGGCTGCACGTTGGAGTCTCCTGGAGAGCTTTAGAAAAATGGACGTCTGGGTCTCACCCTGAGTTTCTCATTTACTTGCCCTGGAGAGCAGCTGGTGCCAGAACATTTAAAAGCTTTTGCAATGGGCTAACCTGCAGCCAAGCTTGAGAACCAGAGATCTAGACGACTAGAGAAATCAGGCTTAGGAACAATGATTAAAGGGCAGGGTCTGGTTATTTCAGAGGAAGGATGATAACTGCTCCTTGGTGGCTGTTCCATCGACTGTCTAGAATCTGTGCTAACTGAAGGGAGGACTGTCATGAACAACTGGCAAATCTTACATTTGAAAGTTCTTTTATAGTTTGCAAAGCATTTGATCTTATTTTAACCTTGCCACAATTCTGGGAAGCAGACAGGACAACATGCTTAGATGAGAAACCAGAGCCTCAGAGAGCTGAGGGATTTGCAAAGATATAAATGGGAGAATCACTTTGGGAGAACCATCATCCAGAGTTTCCAGCAGCCCAAAAATCCCAACGATTTCATTTGCACTATTAAATGCATTTGTCCTCCCTGAGGCAGAGCAAAATCTGTTCATGGGTAAAGGTAGGAAATCTTTTAAAAGAAGATGAAGTGACGAAGAGAAAACCAACCAAAATGAAAAGGTCCTCAGAAAGCAGATTCACAAGGAGCTGTCTTCCTACTAGGGACAAAGAGCAGTGGTTACTGTTTTATTTTTTCCTGTGTATATAGGTCAGAAGATTGATATGGCAACAGAAGGTTAGATAATTGAAGGAACTTTCCAGTTTTCTCATCCATAAGACCATCAACTGGAGCTAGGCGCACGTAGGATCTATAATCCTGAGAACCCTGGCTTCTATTCCAGGCGGGCCACTTGCCTGTAACCTGAGACAAAATGTAGCACTCTTCCTCTCAGGGTCACAGACGAATAAGATAAGGTGGGTAAACGGTAAAGGTAACCCGTTCAAAGGTTAGTAGTAGTAGTAGTGTCAGTCGCTCAGTCGTGTCTGACTCTTTGCGACCCCATGGACTGTAGCCCACCAGGCTCCTCCGTCCATGGGATTCTCCAGGCAAGAATACTGGATGGGTTTCCATCCCCTTCTCCAGGGGCTCTTCCCGCCCCAGGGATGGAACCTGGGTCTCCTGCGTTGCAGGCAGATTCTTTACCGTCTGAGCTACAGGAAAGCCCTGGATTAACCTTTATTTAAAGGTTAATAAGGAATTTTCTTGTTGAAGAAGCCATTTCTATCCATAACAGTATTGTTGGACTAGCTCATTTGGGTAAAAGATGTATTTCTCACATCCATGAAGCCACACTTTGGAGCAGCTTCTTTGCTTACTGGCTTGATTTCTTTTCTACCCAGGAAAGGCTGACCTTAATCCATGCTGCCCTGTGTTCCGCATCCTAGATAGTTAGTGAGAGCCTCGCAGAGGCCCCCAGGGTCCCCACCAGCAAGCAGGGGCTGAAAGCAGTTCTAAGCTGTTAGCCTCAGGATTCTGGCTACATGGAGAGGAATGGCTTGTTCCTGGAGTGGAATCCTTCCCGCACCAAATGTTAGCTGGGAGGGGAGACTGGGCTGGAGGACTTCCAACTGCTGGGCTCTGGGAATGCTGCATTTGTTCCAGCAAGGGAACTGGAACTGGAATGCAACACAATCAGATGTGCTAGAGAACACTCCCCAACTTTGGTCAGCTCGTGAATGCCTTTCTTTGTAAAAAAAAAAAAAGAAAAAAAAAACCCTTGGACATTTTTAGAAACTTTAAAAAATAATTTTGCTATTTCTGCCTTGATTATGGTAAAGTCATGATCTTTAGTCATTGTTTTTAGATTAGCATCTTACTAAATATAATAAGGCTAACTTAATATGATATGTAATAATATTCATAAGGAAACAGATGCCAGTTTCTCTATTTAACAAATGATGCAAGGTGTTAAACTGATTTTAAATAACTGTCTAAAAATGATTTGTCATTTAGGTTGAATGAATTTTCAAATAACATATTGTGTTTTGTTAGAGAACCACATGAATATAAGACAGACTGACAATATTTAGCTATACAAGAATTTATTAAATAAATATACAAATAGTTATTCATCCTGAGGAGAAAAAATGACAGACTGAATTTCACTATATGTTGATGGCATCAAAAGATAGTTTTTTCATTACCTACTATTAGAATTCTTGAGATTTCCCTCGAGTTATTTTGACAAATTTTAGTGTTTTGTTTCTAAATGGCAAGAAAAGAGGATAAGGCTTACAGTTTCTATTTGCATGAATGTCTAAAAAAATAAGATACATAAATGTGAAGAGTATTTTCACCAAATGAAAAGTCAAATTACTTTTGACAAATTACTGTCATTATTATTTTTGATGTTATTTTTCAATATATTAGAAAATCTTGGTTGCTCTGGAAGAACTTTAATCAGAAGAATAAAACAGGATCTGAGTAAAGAGCATCCTTAGGCTAATTTGCAGAGTTGTTATCATTTATGTGCCATCATTAACTTACCACACACTAACACTCATGTTTCATAAGCACTCTTTTTAACCAACACTTTATTGTGGAATTAAATAAATACTATTTGACCAAGAATAAAACAAACTACTTGATTAGATCCTCATTCAAAGAAATGAACTGCAAAGATCATTGGTTGGGAAAAGCTAGGGAAATTTCAATGTGGTTTGGGCATTATATAATCCTAAAGAATTACTGTTAATCTGGGGGGGAGTGATAGTATTCTACTGTAGTTACACAGGAAATTTTTCTTATTCCTTTGCAGTGCATCCTGAAGTATTCAGGGGTAAAATATTATGATGTCTAGGATTTATTTTAAAATACTTCACCAAAAAGTAGAAAAGCAAACATGGCCACATGTTCTTAACTTTTAAACCTTGGAGACGGGCACATGGAAACTCCTTACACTCTCCTCTCTGCATTTCCGTATCTGAAAATGTTCATAAGGTGAAACAAGTGAAAAACAGAAACACAAGGCAAAAGAAAATGTTATCAGGAAGTGGTTCCCACACCCACTGACTCCCTCTAGTGGCCAGGGGTGTTGGGCTGAGTGCAAAGACTACCCAGTCTGGAGCAGATTCAACTCATCTCCTCCTCCAGACACCACACTCACAAGGAGATTCTCAAACTATTTTGTTCTTTCATTTGTTGTCACTGGGTTTATAAAACCAGAAATTTAGGTCTCATTACTCCATTTAATGGCCTGAATCCAGAGGAGTAACTTATGGGTCTGAGTGCCACCAGGTGGGACTTCCTCCAGTAGGTATCTGGGGTCGGAAGCTGGTTCAGGCAGATGCCCTGGAGAAGTGCATGGCAACCCACTCCAGTACTCTTGCCTGGAGAATCCCATGGTCAGAGGAGCCTGGCAGGCTACAGTCTATAAGGTGGCAAAGAGTCGGACACGATTGCAGTGACTTAGTGCACAAAATATTAAGACCCACTTGCCTTTTCTGAGCACACACTGATAATTGGGGCCAGACAGGTTCCCCACCCATCCCCCACCCACCCAACTTCAGCCCAGAGTGTGTGGGGAGGCTGCCTGGACTTCCACATCTGCCACTGTTGATCCATGCACTGGATAATCACATGCCCATCACCAAGATCTAACTGGGTTAGAAATGGAAGGACAGTGAAGCCAGTGAGGAGGTTCTAGAATATTTCACTTGGGTACCTTGAGGTCAGTTACAGGTCTGGACATCACTTCTCTGAAGAAAGTCAAAGAGCAGGCACAACCAGATAGAGAAGGGACCCCGGAGTCAAACACCTGATTTTCTGGAGCAGCAAGTCAGAAGGCCTTGAAGCTTAGCTTTTGGAAGTTTTTGCTGGGGACTGGCCCCTCCCACATGATGACACCGTGGGGTGGGGTAATAGCAACCCAGCTCTGCCCCCAGCTACTTCAGACCCCCACACCAGTGCCAAGGTAAGAGATGGGTCAGACCACGGGCAGGTGGAGATCAGCCCTTGGGCTTGTCCCATCACAGTCCAGGACTCAGATTCAGGGGCAGAGACAGTTGTGTAAGGGAACAGTCTCACCGCCCAAGGGAATCTGGCTGCAGTTAACGGTGGCAGAAGCCTGCCTCCTTCTGAGCCTGTTTCCTCACTCACTAGTTGACAGTGGACCCCTGGTCCCTTCCAGCTCTGCCCACCCACCAGGCTGGGATCCACCGGCTGTGGTGCGCTGCGCGCCAGCCACCAGCAGAGAATGACCACCAGCCAACGGGTCGTCCCTCATCACTATCCGGGGNTTAACGGTGGCAGAAGCCTGCCTCCTTCTGAGCCTGTTTCCTCACTCACTAGTTGACAGTGGACCCCTGGTCCCTTCCAGCTCTGCCCACCCACCAGGCTGGGATCCACCGGCTGTGGTGCGCTGCGCGCCAGCCACCAGCAGAGAATGACCACCAGCCAACGGGTCGTCCCTCATCACTATCCGGGGAGTGGGGGTGATGGGACATCCTTAAGTTGGAGTGAGAACTCATGACTTGGCAAAAGGCAGGGCCACCCTTCTGTTTGAGACAGAAGCAGGAGATGGGGAAGGGGTGGTGGTTTGTCTGCTGGGACCCCAAAAATCTCTGCGGGAAAGGGCTGCTCCAGCGACTTGCGCAGGGGAGCAAGGGTCTCTGCGGGCAGCTCCAAGCCGACTCTAGGCCTGGCCGTCAGTGGGAGAGGCTGGGCGGGGAGGGGTCGCTGTTGCTCTGTCTTACAAGCATATCTTGGGATGGGCGGTCGCTTTGGCCCTGATGGGGTAGGGGCGGAGTGGGGAGGTTCCCGGACTGGGGATGGTCCAGCCGTATCATACCCTCCCAGAGGGGGCCCCGCCCTGAGCAGGGGAGGCAGGATCAGTCCTCCTTCCGTGCCCGGAACTCGGGCATGCTCCAGGCCCGCGGCGGCGGCGTGTCCCGCTCCACGTCCTCGGAGATGGTGTGGATGTCGCTGGCGAAGGGGGCGATGCGCGCGCGGCTCCTGAAGGTGGCCAGGCTGCCTCGGGGGGCCCGCAGGCTCCACTGGCGCGTCAGCCGCTGCGCCTCCTCCTCCTCCTGCATCCTTTCCAGGACCTCCTGCAGCACCGAGCGGAAGAGCCGGGAGACCTCCTGCACCTCCGGCTCCTGCTCCGCCACCAGCTGTCGGAACCTGGGGGCAGCGGGCGGGGAGACAAAGCAGGGCTGCGGTGGGTGAGGTGCCGCGCGACCCCAGGGGCGTCCCTGCGCGCCCCCCCCCCCCCCCCC